TGTGAGAAGCAGCTGAAATCCGGACAGCATTTGCCAACTGCCCCTGAATTTGGAGGGCACATGGGGACACGAGGCTTGTAGGGAATGCATCATTCGGAAGCGTGCTGCCCATCTGTTTGGAAGGGGCTGACATGGAGGCCCTGGGGAGCAGGCGGCTGCCCGTCCAAGTGGGTAACTGGGGGAAAGCTCCTCCCTGATGCCACATTTCTCCTTTCCCGATAGAGCGGGCACGCTCTTGGCATGTCTGTATCAATTTCCCAGAGGGGCAGCCTGGGCCCTGGTGCAGAGGCAAGGCTCCCACGGGGCGCGCCCCCAGCCGACTCCTACCCCTTTCCGCCAACTAGACCCCTGAGGTGGTAATGGCCCTTGGAAGTCTCTACAAAGAACAGCGCGCGCGCGCACACACCACACGCGCGCGCGCGCACACACCACACGCGCGCGCGCGCACACACACACACACACACGCGCACACACACACACACACACACACGCACACACACACACACACACACACACACACCCTGCAGCCAGAGAGGCCAACAGGTCAACTCCAGAGATGAGTGTGGAGACAAATGTCACAGGCAATTTGTGTTCACAGCCACCTGGTTCCGTGACTTTGCATTAAGTAGTCCTCCAGCCTAAATATGACAGGACAATCGAAAATACATCCAGGTGGGTGGTGACCCAAAGAGAACCCACCTTTTCCCCTTTTGTTTTGGGGAAAATAATAAGATTTTGCAAAACACTCAACTTAAGGAGGAGTAAAATCCAACACATACCCACACATACCCCCCCACACATGTGAACGCAAACCCCACACATGCACCCACACATACCCCCTCACACACAAGCACACACACACACCTTCCTCCACACATGCACACATACCCCCTCACACATGCACACACACCCCATCACACACCCACATATACACCCTCACACACACACACAAACCCCCCACATGTACCCACACACCCCCTCACACACATACACACACATACACCCCTCCACACACACACCCACACATACCCCCTCACACATGCACACACAGACACATATGCACACACATACCCCTCACACATACACACATACCCCCTCACACACACACACACATACCCCCTCACACATGCACACACACATATGTATACACATACCTCCCACACAAGCACACACACACCCTCACACACATGCACACACACACACCCTCACACATGCACACATACCCCTCACACACATCCACATACCCCCTCACACATGCACACACCCTCACACATGCACACATACCCCCCCCACACCCACACACAAAGCCCTTCACACATGCACGCACATACCCGCCCATACACATACACATATGCTGGCAAGCACACGGTCTTTGAGAAAATTCTGTATCAAGAAGGGAAAAGAACGTGTCCCTCAAAGGGCAGAGAAAAACAATTCCTTTGAAAAAGATGTAGCCCAGGAACATGAATAACTTCCATTAGCCTTGTACTCAATCCGTGTAATTAAAATGCAAACTCTAAGGAGAACTGAGAAACAAGACGGAGAGAATGACCCGAGAGGCAGGGGGGCATCAAAGGCGAGCCACACAAGAGGAAGAAAGGCCACAAAGAAAAGAAAGATGCAGTGGAAGAATTTACAGTTGCATTATGATGGCAAAGAATAGAATTGGAACTCCAGAAAACTGAGTCTGTAAATGTGGAGGACAGATACGAGTTGTCGGAGACTGCAGAGGGAAACCCCGAAGGGGTAAAGCAAAGGGGGGGAACAGGGCAGCCGCGGGGGCCCTCCGAAGAGACCCTGGCAGGTGAAACAGAAGCAAGAGTCAGAGGAGAAAGAAGATAAAGGCCGCCGATGAAAAGCCCCAGCCTCTTTAAGAAAAACCTCTTAAAAGCCCAACTTAATAAAGTTAAAAGGTTCTTTTTTCTCTAAGTCAAATTAATAAAAAGAAACAAATATTGGAAATACTGTGCAGGATTTTGTCCTTTGTGAGGGAATAAACTCTGGAATAATCCCATAAAGAAATTATCCTATAAAAGAAATTACCCTATAAGAAAGAATCCTATAGAGCAGCCATACAGAGGGGAAAATGGAGGAAACACCTATGACATTTCTGAAAATGTTTAGTTGGAAAAAGAGATTCCATGAAATGTTGGGAAGTGCTTAGGTTGGAGAAAAAAGCTTCGGTCATAAAACAAATTTGGGCAATGCTGACTGAAGCAAAAAACGACAAAATCCCAAGCTGAGGCTTTCTCAGGGCTTTTAAGTATCTGCATATCACTGAATTGGCAATATTACTAAGCACAGCTTTCCTAATTTATCTGATGACTTAACTGTTCTCCCAGCTCAATGGAATACACCTTGGGAACCCACTTTTCCTCAGAATTTGAGAGAATACAGTTGTGGCCTAAAATCTCAACAGTCTGCCAGGTGCACTCATGCATGGAGACAACAGAAAAAGACTTCCCTGCACGCCAGAACGTAGGACACATGCCATGCACAGCTCTGCCCTTCATGCGGGAGAATTACTCAGAGATGCACCCTTAGCAAGCAGGAAAGAAGGGAATATAAAATCAGTATGGGGGAGTCGTATAGTGACCTGAAAAGTGAATATTAAAAACCTGTTAGGCACATGATTACATATGTACCCATCAGGGGCCAGTCACCAGACAGAAACCACATCCTTCCTTGCCTAGTCCCGTGCCCTGGGGGGCTGCCCCCCTTAAGCTGCACTCATTCCCTGGCTCCCTGCCCCTCCAGCTTCTGGTTGGGTTCTGACAACAGGAGATTGCAGGATGGGGGGTGAGAAGGGCTGGTGTACCCTTCCTGCGCCCTCCCTACAGTAGGTTGCTCTGTCTAGCAGTAGCAGTGACCCCACCTCAGCTCTTACATTGACCTGCTCCCCAAGGTTCCTGCTGTCTCTGGGCTCCAGTCACACTAGTTGCTCCCTCATCCCTGCAGCCCTGGGGATGGTACTGGCTCCTGGCTATTGATAGTCTGGGGTGCCTCACCGTCCCGTTTGTCCCCTTCACCTTGCCCACACTTCTATACGTAGTCCCTTCATTAAAGTCTCTTTATTTAAACCAGCTTGAGTGAATGCTTCTTGCCAGGAGCCTGACTCACACACTTCTCAACTCTTTTTTGTAGAGCCAGAATAACTCTGATACTAAAACCTGACAAATGGCACAAAGACCAAATGAATGAATGAGTCATACACTAGTCTCATTTGTAAAAATGTAAAGTCCTAAGGAAAATGTAATCAGATTATGTTCAATATAAGTCCAACAATATATTAAAAGAATGCACCATGAGCAAACATTCCTGGAATGCATGGATGATCTTATATTAAAACTGCAGCAAACTGATTCACCGCAGCAATAGGTCAAAAGAGAAAAAGATCATTTTACATGCTGAACAGATGTTTGGTAAATGTCAACATCCATTCCTGATTGTCTTTTCAAAAGCTCTAGTGAACTGGAAATTGAAGTATACTTATTTCACATGATAAAAAAAATATTAACCCTCAAACCCAGAGCCAACACCAAAAAGAGAGAAATGCTTTAAGCATCTCATTAAATATGAGAACAAGACAAAAATTTCTGCTATCTTGTTATTCAGTGTTGTTCTAAAGATCTGAGCTAATGCAATTGGACAGAAAAAATATAAAAAGAGAACAAATCATAATTATTTGAAAATATGATGGTCTTCTTAGAAAAACTAGGAAAATACAAAATTATCAGAAGAGTTTAGTAAAGTGGCCAGTTACAAAATAACTACAGAAAAATTGGGATCTCTTCTACCTCTTAATAACCTATTAAAAACATGTTGCCCCCAAAAAAGAGATGCTGTAATAGCTATCTATTGCTGCATAATTAATTACCCCAATACTTGATAGTATGAAACAAAAACATTTATTATCTCATGGTTTCTGTGGATCAGGCATCAGGTGTGACTTAGCTGAGTTCTCTGTCTCTCACAAGGCTATAATTAAGTCGTTAGCCAAGGCTGTGGTCTCATCTGAAGGTTCAACTGGGGAAGCCCACTCACATGGTTATTGGCAGGATTTAGCTCCTCACAGGTTGCTGGGCTGAAGGGCTCAGGTCCTTGCTGCTTGTTTGCTGGAAGCCTCTTCAGCTCCTTGCTATGGGCCTTCTACACGGCAACTCACAACACGGCCACTGGTTTCATCAGAGCAGGCAAGTGAGAGAGCCAGAGAAAGACTGAAAGTACTAGCAAGACAGAAGTCACGGTCTCTTACAACCTGATCTCAGAAGTGACATCCCATCTCTTTTTGCCACATTCTATTATTAGAAACAAGTCATTAGGTCCAGCTTACATAAAGGAGAGGGGATTACACAAGTGAGTGACTACCAGGGGTTGTTGGGAGCCATTTCAGAAGCTGCCTACCACAAATGCCATTGTTGCATTTCATGAAAACAAGCACCAAATACATATATTCATCTATAAAATAAAACTTCACTGAAAAGCAACAATAAAAAAGACCTTAATAGTAGAAAGATATGCTATGTTCCTGGATAGAAACACTCAATGTTGCAAAGAAGTTGATTATCACTTCATTAATCTAGAGATTTAATCTAATTCCAATTCCCAAGGGATTTTTTGTTTTGTGTTTAACTTGGCCAAAAAAAAAAATCTAGAGTTCATCTAGCTGACAACAGCAAAGAATATTTTTAAAAAATAAAGGAGATTTGTCACAATTATTAAAATAGGGCAATACCAGTGTGTGAATGAGCTGATAGACCAATGGAACAGAAAAGAGAGACCAAACACACAAAAATATTCAGTATATGATAAGATGGCCTTCAGATCACTGGAAAATGATGAATTCATTCATAAATCATGTTGGGATTGTTGCTTAATTTGCTTTAAAATTAGGTCCTTAACTCTCACCACACATGAAGATAAAATAGGTTAAAGAGTTAAATTTAAAAGTGAGATGAAATCATAAAATCATGGCAGAAATTTTAATTGAAAATGCATGTATTCTTGGTAAGGCTAAGGTCACACAGCAATAAAGTCTGAGATCATAAAGGAAAAGTTAACAATTTGACAGCTGAAAAACGAAGCACTTTGGAACATCAGGAGAGTATAAAAAATATTGATGCCAATGAGAAACTTTAAAAATTAGTTTCACATGTGACAAACAGTGATATAGGAAAAGGTGCTAAACATATTCTGTCTTATAAATCAATACTGAACAGGTGAAGATTACAATAGAAAATAGTCAAAGAATATAAACAGGAAATTTACCATTCATGTATTTATTCAAAAAATATTTACTGAGTACCTCTTATGTGCCAGACACAATTCTAGGTATGTGGGACAGCGGTGACAAGACAAAGGTGCCCTCATGGAGGGGAGAGACAAAAACAAATAAGCAGTTCTTGTGGGGAGAGACAAGAAACAAATTATGTGGTATTTTAGCAGGTGAAAGTACTCTTTGGCTAAAGAAAGGAGTGTAGTAAGGAGATCAAGAGTGGGGGGCCGGAAGGCGGTGTGTATGTGCACAGGAGCGTGGTCTGTGTTGAGAAGGTGCATTGAAGCAAAACCTTGAACAGGGTCAGGTTACTAGCTGTGCAGAGCTTGGGAAATAGCCACGGTGTGCTGGGGGGGCAGGGGGAGGCCAGGGGGCCCAGTGCAGGGAGCAGAAGGGACTAATTGGTGAGGACCCCAGGGGGCTATTAAGAGGGCTTTGGCTTTTATCCCCAGTTAGGCTGGGAACCATTGCTGGGTGTTAAGCAGACGAGTGGAATTTTGACTTTTGTCTTAAAAGGATCATCCTGGCCACTGTTGCAGCATAGACTTCTTATGTATAAAAGTAGGAGGAAAACCTTCAGATGTCAACGTGCACAAGACAAAATGCTCTCACAGGTATCAAAGAAATGCAACTAAAAAATGTATTAACATGTTTTTAATCTATCCAATGTTTAATGCTCTTTTAAGAAGATAGTACCTGGTGTTGACAAGGGCATGGTGCTTCAGGCAGGTAAACGGAGACCACTTTCTGGGGGCAGCTGGGTAACTTGTGCCAAAACCTTAGCCATATTCAAACCCTTTCACGAGAAATCCAGCTTCCAGTAAGTTAATCTAAGGACTAATCATGTTGATGCTTATTGAGTGCTTGCACACACCAGCCTCTGTACTAAACACACCCCAAGTGTCCCCTCATTGAAGTCCTTATCATTGTTCCCATTTTACGGAAAGAGAAAAGGCACAGTGAATCACACAGCTCACAAATGAGGGCTGGAACCAACCCAGACACACCGAGACTAATACATACGGGCAGCAGACGTCAAGGTTTATGTTTAAGCATGCTTATTACAGCATTATTTACAAGAGCTAGGAAAGTAAAATGAAACAAAAAAGGGTTATTAAATAAATTATGATTTATCCATATAATTCAGTCATTAAAAATCCTGTTGAGGAAAAATCGTTTCCAGTGTAGCCAGTGCTGATACATGCAGAACGTCAGGAGCTTCCCAGAAGAAGTTACCTGCTGCGGCGATGTGCCATTTCCTTGTCCAGGTGGTAGTTCACAGATGCGTTCACTTTGGGATCATTCATCAAGCTCTATACCTTGTGTACTTTTCTCTGTGTATGTTATAGTTAAGTTGTTTTAAGTTACTTTAAAAAATTCAAGTTGCCAGGTACTTCTCCTCCTAGGGGAACACCAGAAAGTCTGTGGAGCATGTCTTCTTGGTCAGAGAATTGTCGCTGGGGACCCTCTGGGTTATATAGACATAAGTCTGGTAGCCACCAGCTGCTCAGTGGGGAGTCTACTACCCACCTTTTGTGGTCAGAGAAAGTCTGGTCTTTCCAACACCACAGAGAGGAAGTGGCTGGCCTCCTGGCCAGACAACAGTTCAGGCAGCTCCCACCACTCCACCTTGCATCTCAACCAGCAGGTCAAGGTGCCCCAACTTAGGTCTGAGTTCCTCCTGCCAGAGTGAAACTGAAGGTCTGACTGTAGGCTCAGAATCCACATCCAGTCCTTAGGGTGAGAAGATTTTAATAGGGGAGGGACTGTGGCTGAAGCCCTGCCTGAGCCAGCCCCCCAGTGGCCCAAACGCAAGGCATCTAGAGGTTACAAAGTGACCACCTTCTTGTCTGGCAGAGGAGTACCTGCGATCAATGCGAATTCTGAAAAGAGAAGTCAGTCCTGACAGTTACCCTGACCAGAAAAATGTTTATCAAATATTATCACACAAACAAAGCAGGTTGTAAAACAACATATGCAATATGATCTCAGTTGCCTTTTTTTAAATGAGGGTTTTTCTGGAATAATAATAATGATTTTCTCCAAATTACAGAATTAGGTATTTTTTTCTTAATCATTCTACATTCTTAATTTTCTATAACTGATGTATTTCTTTTGTAATCTGAAATATAAAGCTATTTTAAAAAATTTAAGGGAGAGATCACTAATGTCTTGTCTCCACTCCTCTTTCACCACCCTGAGGCCCCTTCTCCTTCCAGACCCCAGGTCAGCAAAACTGAGGACTCCTGGGGGCAGGGGGGGCATCACATATACTAAAGTATAGGAAATACCATCAGTAAAGAACCTTACTTTGTCCCGTCCTGTGGCATACAGTAGAAGCTTGATCCATACCCTGGACCATCATCTCATCTCATCCAGAACTGCCTTCAGAGCAACACCTTTTGGGTAGAATCCCAGTGTCCTGAGGCAGCCCACACAGGAACAGCTGTCAGCACTGGCCGCAGGGCCTGCCCCTTCCATTGCCCACCTCTGCCCTCACCCCAGACCACCTGCCCTTCTACAGCTCCATTGCCTTCCACACCAGAAGGAAATAGACAATGCATGCACTCCACAAAGCAGAAAGCTAGCCACCTCACATGAGCACGACAGCGATAGGGTCACAGATGGACAGGGATGGATGGATGGACAGATGGATGGACATCAAGACTGGGAGAAATAGAAATGTCTGTCAAAGGTCACAGAGAGCACATCCTCACCTGCACTCAGGATTTGTCGCTCTGTTCTAGCCTAGTCACTTGTGTTACCCTCACTAGACTAAGAGTCCTTTGGGGACCAGACAGGGGAGGCTTCTGTCTGTAACCCCCCAGCCAGCACAGGGCCTGGCATTCACCAAAGCACCCAGGGAACATGCTGCCTGAATGAGCAAGTGTACAAATGAAGGCATAATTGGGAGAAGTATCAGCAGACAGAGACAGAAGGAGTGCGTAAGAGATGTAGGACCAGAGAACACAGAGGGCAGAGACTGTGAGCCACAGGAGGGAGACAGGCAGAGAAGGATGAATGAATGAATGAATGAATGAGCAGATGGGGGCTACTAATAGAAAAAACAAAAAAGCTTGGGAGACTCAAATGAAAGTTAAAGATACTAGTTAAAGAGGCAGGAAAAGGAAAGCAGAGAAACAAAGACAGGAGTTTCCCTTAGCCTTGCCAGGTGATTGGAGCCCCTGGGTTTCTGACTCAGTTTCCCTGACACTTCTCCGGGGTTTTCCAGGCTGTAGCCCGAGACTGGCACTCTGCTAGGTCTTGCTGGCTCTCTTCCGGGCAGGGAACTGTTACCTCCTTCTCCCCACTGCATGTTGGCAGAAGTCCACCTCCTGACCTTGACAGAAGGGGCTTCCCACCCAGCAGGCCCAACAACTTGGGCAAAATCCCCCCACCAAGGAAGGCCCCCAAGGCCACCAAGAATGAGATCCCCCGCCTCCTTCCGGGTACAATGATCCTCCCTGCCTCTACCGGATCTGGGCCCTGCGTTGGAGACAGTAGGGGTGGGAACAGGGAATGTTACCATTCAGCAGGCCCCACTGCTGCCAACTGCCGCTAGAGAGGGGGAGAGAAAAAGAAGGGGAGAAGCTGGCAGGCGTGGTGGCTAAGGGAGTTTGAGGACTCTTCCTGCCTCCACGCGGCCTTTGCCTCAATGCCCAGGCTGTTCTATCAGCTTTGGTATTTCCAATTCCTCAGGGAACCATGGGGAGGGGGCCCAGAGAGCTGAGAGGGAAACAGAGTGGGTGGTGCCAGAGCCGCCGGGTTCCCCTGGGTCCTAGAGAAGGGTGGGTTCCTTCCCTCCCCCACCCCCCACCACATCTGTCCCTTCAAAAGGCTCTGACCTCCCCTCCCCCTCCCTTTAGGGCTTCTTGGGAGTTCCAGCCCTGAAGAGACACTTCCAAACCAAAGCGCCCCAGCCTCTCCACGGGCCCCTCCACGGCTGCTGTGGCTCTGGGGACTTGAGTCCCCCTGTCTCCCTCACCATTGCGCCAGCTGTGGCTGCTGGGAAAGGGTGAGCACAAAGCCCAGCTGGCAGCGGTCACTCGGTGGTCCTCTCCCTGCACGGCCAGCGTGTTCTGTGCCAGCTTGCCAGGCCTCCTCACTCAGCACCTCCGCCAGCCCGCTTTCCAGGGGCAGAGGCTGGGGCTGCACAGTCCAGTGCTGGGTTGGGCTGGGACTTCCTCTCCCAGTTGAGTAAAAATCCTATCGGCGGCTTTCCTGAGCTGCCCACCCAGGTGCTGGGCCTGGGCTTAGCAGCCAGTGATCACGTGGAGGAGGAAACAGACGGCAGGGGCCTGCCTCAACCCTTCCCGCAACCGCAGAAGCATTCTGACCCGCAGTGGGCCTCCTGGTCCTTCCTCTGCGGAGCAGTGTGACAGCCCACAGTCCTGTCCCTTCACGGTCCTCAAACCCTCTGCGGATCAGGCCTGACGCCTCCTTACTTCCCCCGCGATTTTCCAGGGTCTGGTGTTCCCTTAGCAGTAACAGAGCAGCCCAGCTCAAAGTTAAACACAGTAGGTGCTTAATGAAGTCATGCACTAACACCAAACTCTTACAGTCCTATATCACTGGCCCTCCATGGCCCCCTGAGACTGGTTCCTAGTGTCAGGGACTGGCAACAAGCCTCAACCACATGGCTGGGTCTTAAAAATGTGGGTGTGAATCCAGCCCACAGGGAGACAGGGCCTGGAGACGCCCCCTCACCTACAGACAGCTCGGGCCAGCCCAGCCTGTGACTCAAAGCCCCTCGGGACTCCTGGGCAGCCTGCCCAAGTATCTCAGGCTCGGCTCCTCAAGCACCAACTAAAGGGTGCCAAGATACCTGGAGCTGCTGAGACAAAGCCTTGTTCCATGTGCATGGAGAGGGGAACTGGGCAGCCTCACCTGGGCTCATACAGCTGCTAGGCCCTGTCTGCCACTGTGAGACCCAGATTGGAAGGGAGAAAGAGGTCAGGGAGGAAAAGGAGAGGGGAGGCGAGGACAGGCCTCAGAGGGGGTGGGGAGAAGGGCTTAGCCCCACATAGGGTTCACCCGGGGCAAGGAAGAGTGGGGAAGACAGACAAAAATGGGGCTGGGACAAAGAAAATGGGGGGGGGAAGGGGAGGACCCTTGGCAGATAAACCCCTCCCTTCTCTCACCAATCCAGAGGAAAGAAAGAAAATAGCAGCCAAATGGCTGGCACTGTACTGGGTACTATTCATAATCCTCTCATTTCTTCCTCCCAAATACACCATGAGAATGGTAGTATTAGCCTGAAGTCACAGGTGAAGACTTTGAAGCTCTGAGAGCTTAATGGGCTTCCTTGGGGGTAACTAGGGGCTGGGTCAGGGCCCCAGCTCAGTCGTCCTGGGGCCCTACGTCTCTAGTCTCAGCCAAGATGGCTGGCAGGGACACAGCCTTGGCCCAGGGAGCCCGTGCAGAGGCCCGAGCTATGTTCAGCACAGAGTTTACTCAAACAGAATCTAATAGGAAACTAGGCCCCTCTGACTCACTCTGATTCGACCTTATTAAGAAAAGAGAAAGAGGAGCAGAGGCCAGCGTGGGTAGGGTTTCATGCCAAGGGCTGGCTCCAAGGCAGAGGGCGGCTGAGCATCAGGGCTTGTGCCCTGGTCTCTCCACAGCTCGAAAGCCCTGAGGTAGCCCTGCTTGAGAAGAGGGGTCCTGCCCTCTCCACTCTAGGCCAGTGGGGCTTCCCGACCTCGCAGCCATCCCCCATCCTCCCTCCCTCTCTACTCTTCCCTTCCCCTCCCCTCCGCCACCGCCGGGGTACCCTGAGGTCTGTTTCCACTTCTCATCCTCCTCTCCTGGCTCTGCTGCCCATCTGGCTGGTTGGGAGGGCCCTGCAGGACCCCAGAGATTCCAAGCAGCTGAGGCCAGCACTGCGGGGGGCAGGCAGGAGGGAGGGAGGGCTTAACCCTCCAGGTCCCAGCCCTCAGTGAGCCCGGCTCGGCATCTGGCTTGGTGTCCTGAGCCAAACTGGTCACTCCTTGCAGGGGTCCTGCCTGGGGTCTGAGACCCTACCCCACACAGGAAAGCTGGGCTGAGAGGCCCATGTTGAAGGGTTACTGGCTGGATTCTGAGGACAGACAAACGCCCCGAGTCACCTCATCCTGAAGCATGGTGTGATGGGTGAACAAACGCTGGCAGCCAAGGATGAGGGCGCAGGCGTCCAGAGGCCCTGAGAAAGCCCACTTCGGCCGTCTCCTTCCAAAGTGGGCTCCAGCAGTTTCCAAAGTAGAAAGGGAATCTGCAGGGGCCACACTAAGGCCAGGTTCTTCCTACCTGGTACATAAGCACAGGAGGGAAATTTTTGCTCTCCTGTCATAAGGGCAGGTTGGAGAAGGCAGGCCAGGGGAGGCATTCAGAATGTGAGTTCTTGGACTCTAAAGTGTTCACACTTCTGGGACTCCTCTTATCTCTGCTGTTCCCAGAGAAAACAGAGAACCTCCCAAAGCACTCTTGGGGACCATCTGGTCTAATCCTCCATTGATCAGATGTGGCAACTGGATCAGAGTAGGGAAGGGAGTTGCCCAAGATCACCCAGCAACTTAAACACAGCGACAAAACTAGTCCCAGTTCTGGATGCCCCTTTCTGCTGTTCTATGCTTACAGCACATAATGCCTCACAGTGACTCCTATCCTATATTAATGACAGCCGCTGGATTGCATTTTATTCACCTGCACACGCAGGTTATTTCCAGGCTATGTTCACTCAAGAGATGTAGGATGGAAACCATACGTGATGTGTGAGAAGTTGATCTCTCCTGTGGTTCTTTCAGCACGGGGCAAACCCCCATTCTACAGACTTGGGAGAGTAAAGCTCAGAGGTGCATCGTGAGGGAAGAAATTGAAGCCAGCCCTTTTGTACTCGGGCCAAGGAACTGAGGTACACCTGGGGCCCAGAATTAGGAGGTGGTTCTGCTGGGGTTCAGTATTTCCTTAAAGGAGGCCCACCTGCAAGGAGGGTGTCTCTAAGCACTGTCTTTGGGGAATGGGAGCCCAGGGGGTCCTGGGAAGAAGCTGGAGTTGACAGGAGTCAGGGGCTCATTCAAGTCCAAACAAGTTAGGTGAAATCAGGGATGCTGGATCTAAAGCAGAAATGACCAGAGTGGTTCTGAGACCCCAGCCCTGCTCCACCTAACACAGCCCGGTTTACTAGGCCTGAACTCCCCGCTTCATTCCCTTCCTTAGAGGCAGGTCTGAGGCTTGGCTGGGAGCTCCAGGGACGGAGGGAACACACCAGCTGTGGGACGGGCAACATAGCCAAAACCCGGCGGGCCATAGGGCCCCGCGGAGGCGACCCCAGAAGGCGGACCAGGCTGCTGAAACCTCCCAAAGCTCCCAGCCTGTTGCTTATTCATTCAGAGTGGGAAAGCGCCTGCCCAGCGGCCAGCCAGTACCGGGCTGACCATGTAAGGCCCCCAGGCGGTCCTGTCTGCCCGGTGCCCTGCAGAGAGCCTCCTGCAGCCCTGGGCACCGCCCCTGCCCTGCCCTGACCCCTTGGCCTCGAAATGCTGTCATCGGAGGAGCCGTCCCGCTCGGGACAAAGCCAGGATGGACAAAGCTAAAGCTGGGGTAGGCAAGGAGCCGTCCTGTCCTCGAGGCCGTGGGAAGAGAAACACGCACAGGGGGCCACCCCTGAGAGACTCTTGGTCCACCAGGCCTCTGCAGAGGGGCCACAATGGCTCTGGCCCTAGCCGGCTGGCAGCTGGGAACCCTGGTGTGGGGCGCCTGCCTCTGCGTCTTGGTGCACGGGCAACAGGCGCAGCCGGGGCAGGACTCGGACCCGGGGCGCTGGCGGCAGCTGATCCAGTGGGAAAACAACGGGCGAGTGTACAGCCTGCTCAACTCTGGCTCAGAGTACGTGCCCGCGGGGCCTCAGAACGCCCAGAGTAACTCCCGGGTGCTGTTGGCGGGCGCCCCCCAGACCCCGCAGCGGCGCAGCCAAGGAGGCCTCCGGCGTCGGCAGGCCCCGACCCTGCCCCTGCCCGGGCGCGTCGGCTCGGACACCGTGCGCGGCCAAGCACGGCACCCGTTCGGCTTCGGCCAGGTGCCTGACAACTGGCGCGAGGTGGCCGTCGGGGACAGCACAGGCATGGCCCGGGTCCGCACCTCCGTCTCCCAGCAACGGCACGGGGGCTCCGCCTCCTCGGCCTCGGCCTCGGCCTCGGCCTTCGCCACCACCTACCGCCAGCCGCCCCCCTTCCCGCAGCAGTTCCCCTACCCGCAGGCGCCCTTCGTCGGCCAGTACGAGACCTACGACCCCGCGTCGCGGACCTACGACCAGGGCTACGTGTACTACCGCGGTGCGGGCGGCGGCGTGGGCGCAGGGGCGGCGGCCGTGGCCTCCGCGGGAGTCATCTACCCCTTCCAGCCCCGGGCGCGCTACGAGGAGTACGGCGGCGGCGGCGGCGAGGAGCAGCCCGAGTACCCGCAGGGCTTCCACCCGGCCCCGGAGCGGCCGTACGCGCCGCAGCCCCCGCCGCCGCCCGCCGACGGCCTGGACCGCCGCTACTCGCACAGCCTGTACCACGAGGGCGCCGCGGGCTTCGAGCAGGCCTACCCCGACCCCGGCCCCGACGCGGCGCCGGCCAACGGCGGCGCCTACGGCGGCGACCCCCGCCTCGGCTGGTACCCGCCCTACGCCAACGTGCCGCCCGAGGCCTACGTCCCGCCGCGGGCGGTGGAGCCGCAGCCCCCCTTCCGCGTGCTGGAGCCGCCCTACCTGCCCGTGCGCAGCTCGGAGGCACCCCCGGCGGGCGGGGAGCGCAACGGCGCGCAGCAGGGCCGCCTCAGTGTGGGCAGCGTGTACCGGCCCAACCAGAACGGTCGCGGTGAGTGCTGTCCAGGCCCTGACGCCCCGCTGCCAAAATGCCGGGCCACTGGCCAACTGCTCCGTGTGCCCAAACCCCCCCTCCACCTTTACCAAAAGTGTCCCCTGAGCTGCTAAGCAAGGACCCACCCCCGCCCCCATCAGCAGCTCCAGTGCGTCCCACCTCCCAGGGGTCCCCATGTCCGTGCATCATCAGTGACAGGATTTGGGGCAGGAAGGCCTGGACTTTGACCCTGGCCTGGGGGTTTGAGGGTTGGAAGGACTGGCCGTCCAGGCCTGGCTTGGGCCATCTGAGGAAAAAGGGAAGGAGCCCTTCTCCCTGTGGCCCCCTCATCCCAGTCAGGGTACGTCCTCCACCCCAGGAGATGCGCCGATGCCAGCCTCACCGGGTGAAGCAGGGAGCATCAGAAAGGCTTTAGCGCGCGCCTCTGGAGGTGTGATGCGTCCCGGCCACTGGTGAACGTGAGCTTGGCCTGAATGAGCAGGGGGTTAAGGGCAGGTTCTTGCCCCAGGCAGGAGTCCCAGGGTAGAAGACAAGAGGTCCCTCAGGGGCGCACTGCAAAGGCCGGACTGGAGAGGTAGTGAGGCACTGGCCTGGGCACAAAATGTAACTGGGCACCAAAAACACTCCATAATCAAGAAAAATAATATTTGAATGCAAAAATTGAAGATAAAAAATAATGCAAAAAGAATCAATGATGAACAAAATAACCAAAATTTACATCTCATCAGTAATGATGACATGCCAGGCTATTTTGGAGCCCGAGGACATCTGGAAAATGAGAAATACTGATTCTGCCTTTACTTGAAATTTTGATATTCTGTTCTCCACATATTTTTTTGCATCCATTTTTATTCTTAAAAGTATTGTCTCAAATATATTTTTTCCTTTCTTCTTCTTTTTTTTTTTTTTAAGTGGGAGGATGGGGTGAAGATATGTCCTAGTCTTGGGAAGGCCCAAGCCATCTGTATAAGAGGACCCAGTGGAGGGGGCAGCCTTCCAAATTCTTCAGACGGACAACTCCACACGTGCTGTTAGCAGGTCGGCTACTGTGTCCAGGGCCCATGCGTGGTCCTGCCAGAGCTGAATGGCTTTTGGCCCATCCTCTGCTGTCCTAGAATTCTCCTTCCTGCTTCTGTCTCTGTAGGTCCAAAGCCAGCTTTGGTCAAAGTTTTCCATTCAGTCCCCAATGCATATGCTTCCCCCTGCTGCCCTGCCCTTTTCAGGCTGCAGGCAGTGCCCTGATGCCCTGCTTCGCACTGAGGTTGCTGTGCCAGGCCCACCAGATGATGACTGAGCTCCGCAGGGCCCAGGGGCACAAGCAGTACACTGTACCCCCAACCTTTGCTCCTCTGCCTCCATCAGAACGGGGACTGCTGCCTTGTCTCCAGCCACTGAGCTCGGTGACAGGCTATTGCCAGTGGTGGAGGAGTTCCTGTCTCCTTAGGGGCTGCCAGAGCCCAAGAGCGTCCCCACTAGTAGTCCCAACCCCCCCACATCCAAGGCGTAGCACTAGAGTTAGGTGCCAAGTCCCACTCTGAGAACGTGCAGGGGCTTAGGACAAGAGCTGGGCAGGGGGCCCTTTTGTGATGTGATGAAGGTTGCACCCTCCTGCTCACCACAGCCTCACTGGGACATGCAGCGCCCTGCCGCATCTAGAGCTCCTTGGAGGAGAGGACGTCTCACCTATAGAGTGCTCAGCTTTGGTGGGAGTTTGCTTAGATTGCAAGACCACAGAGTAGGGCTCAGCCAGAGGCTCCCCACCTCTGGCCAGAGGACAAAACAGGCCTCAAATGGCATAGCACTACTGGCAGAGCCATGCCTGGACCTCAGCATCTGTGTCCAATCCGTTGGGTTCTCTAGGGCCCCTCTTTGGTCAGTTCTTGGTTCAGAGGGGGACCAGCTAGGGCAAGGCCATGCCT